CGTTTCATATACAAGGCTTTATTTAAAAAAAAAAAAAAAGTGGGAATGATATTTTAAGATTTGAAAGATTTTACATAAAAATTTTGATTAAAAAACAACAACAACACCACTGTGACAAGAATAGACCCACAAGCCTGCACAACATTCAACTGGAGCTGCTCCTCTTAGGTGGGACATGTGCTGGCTATCTTCCCCAGTCCCCACCAGTCCCTATTACCCCCAATCACTGCTCCCAACTGGCCAAGTGCATGGCCATTTATTGTCTCATTTGCCCTACTGTTTTCCTCAGAATATGGATGATAATGATCATGATGATGATAGTACAATAGTTAATGCTTAAGAAGACTTTTATGTATCAGGCACTATTCTACCTTCTAATGTAAACATACTATATATATATACATAAATTCACATATATATATACATATACACACAAATATATATATTTGCATATAAATTCAATGAATCCTCACAACAGTTTTATGCCTATTTTGTAGATGAGAAAATTGGGGCACAGAGAGATTACATTATTTGCCCAAAGTCACACATCTAGTAAGAGATGAGGCCAAAATTTGAACGCAGGCAATCTGGCCCTTATGTCACACTTAATCTTTATGCTTTACCCAAGTCTCTAGAAAAAGTGGGAAATGAAAGACCAAGAGAGAAACTTGATTTTTCTTACACTACATCATGTCACCCATCTGGTACCTGACCCCTGTAGGTACCTGAGTTTGGAACACTCCCCTTCCCCCCCCATCCACATTCTCATTTCTTCTCACCCACACGACAGCAACAGCCTCCTAGTCTCCCTGCTTCCTGTCTTGCCCTCACTTGCCCATGGGTTTTTCACCATGTTGAGCCAGAAGGAACTTTCTGAATTAAAAATCTGATATAGGAGCACCAGGGTGGCTCGGTCAATCAAGCATCTGACTCTTGATTTCAGCTCAGGTCATGATTTCAGGTTCGTGGGATGGAGACCCTTGTTGGGCTCCGTGCTCAGCAGGGAGTCTGCGTGGGATTCTCTCTCTCCATCTCCCTCTGCCCCCTCCCCCTAAATAAATAAATACATAAGTATATAAATACATAAAATCTTTTTAAAAAATCTGGTATAGTGCTCCCCAGCTTAACATCTTTCAAGATTCCCCTTTGCCTCTAAGACATCGCATCTGATCTTGTCCCAGGCTGTTTTAACAGGCTCAGCTCTTACCATTTCAAACCTTGCATCAGGCACTCCAACCTCACCTCACCACAATGCTTTCCTCTTCTGAAACAATGCACATTCTTTCATGTCATCCTCTGTCTGCAATGCCCTTTCACCTGTCACCCTTTAGTTTGGTGGCTCCTACTCAACTTTAAAGACCCAGCTCAAATATTCCCTCCACTGTGAAGTCTTCCCTGACGCTCCTGGGTTCCCCCCTCTCAATTCTCTTAGTACTTTGTATTTGCTTTTATTTAACATGTAAATTTTAATTGTGAATTAAATTTAATTCACTGTATCAGGTAGGAAGTCCTTTGGGCTGGATACAAAAGTCTGCAAAGTGGTGGCTTAAAATAGATAAAAGTTTATTTTTCTTACAGATTAAAGAAGGCCAGTTCATGGCTGGTATGGCTCCCAAAAGTCATCAGGAACCCTGCTTCCTTCTGTCTTTCTTCGCCACCATGCTCAGCATCATTTTATGATCAAAATGGAATGTCAGCCATCCCAGCCACAGGCTAGGCTGGAAGCAGAAGGAAGTAGGTGACGGAGAAAAGTGCTCACTCCCCACTGAGTGGAAGCAGTCTTTTCAGAAGCCCCATAAAACATTTCTACTAAACTCTCATTGTCTAGAATTTTGTCCCAGGGGCACATCTAGCTGCAAAGATGTTGGACAACTGGTCTAGTAAATGCTTACCCTCACACACACACAAAAGAACACACACACACACACAGAGATGCGCACACATACACACACACACTCGTGCACATATTTCTATTACTAAGGAAGACAGGGGAGAGGAATGTGAGCTCACTGCTGGTGTGGAACAATGGCGTCTTATTCACCCTCAGCCCTGCATGCAGTGGGTGCACAACAATGACTGGGAGAAGCATTTCCACCAGAGACCCACGTTCCAGAGAGAAAGTCTTCCTACATCCACCTCTTTATCCTTTCCCTCTATTTATACCTTAACCTCCCTCCCATTTGTCATAGCCTTGACAAAAGTAGATTAATTTCCCAGACTTTCACTGCCTTCTAAAACCTCCTCAAATTTATTCTGAATGCATGAATCCTATTCTGAAAGACACACCATTTGACCAAGGTCTAATTTCCAGGCTGGCTGCATAATGAAGTCTTTGTGGAGGCAAATCACTGGTAACAGCAGGTTATGGCCTCTCTGTGGACTGATCCCCTCCCCAAATCAATGGCAAGGAGATTCACAAGAAACCAAAGCCCAGGCAGTTCTTCCTGCCAGTCTTGAAGCTCCCAGTCTTGGAACTGTTAGAGGAGAAACTCATTTAAATAGCAACTCAGAAAGATGGATCCTATGGCGGCTAATGTTCCCTCTACAACCCAACCCCATACAACAAAAAGACCTTCTCTGTTTTCCCCCAAAGAGGAAGAAATGAGTTTGGTCACTCAAGAGTGAGAGTTGTGGACATGCTGTGGATGGGAGATGGAGGAGGGAAGTCAGAATTTTTTCCTTCGGTGTTTGATCTGGCATTTGAAAACACAGAATGCCGTTGTCTGTAAACAATGGATAATGTCATCCCCATAGCTCTGGGAACTGAGGACCAAGCAGGTTCCTTTGAGTGTGGGCCTCCATTACAGGGCCCTATTCCTCACGGAAACCCTATTTTATGACATCTGCACCCCTGGCAAACAAGTGTCTGCTCCCAAGTAGCCTTGAGGAGTAGATGTAGACCTCCGGAGTTCCCAGGCTTTGTCTGAGTTCATAGGTATCCAACCTCAGCGACAGAATGGATGGAGCTTGATATTGCTGGACACCATATTATTATGGTATTATTGGCAAACAGGAAAAAAAATCTTTGGTGCATTAAGTGAGTGTGGAGCCTTCCTCATGATTCTCTAGGAGAGCTGCCCAATGTGCCAGGTCACCAGGGTCATTTGCTGGTATCCACCCACCCCCTGGCTGGTTTGCATATGGGTGGGGGAAGGAGTGGGGGAGCAGTCAGATGTTGCTCCTTGGTTCCCAGGAGATGGGAAGAAAGTGGGGAAACCAGCTACAGCCCCTTTACTAACAGGCTTCTAGACACTCTGCAAGGATTCTGGGATGTACCACAGTAGGGGAGGCGGGCATGATGAGACAACAATGAAGATTGGATTCAGGTCAACTGGAATCATGCCCACAAATTACTAGGAAGATACATTACTTGGGAATGGGGGAGGAAGATGGAGTGGAAAATGGCTGAATGTTGGTGTTCATCACAGCCTAGATGGTTCCAAGATCATTAAGGGGGAGCGCGCTTGCCCTAGCACCCAGTGACTGCATTCATAAACAAGGCTGGATACAAATGGCAGTGGGAAGCCCTGGGCTTCACTCCGGCAGGTATGGCTTTTAAGACCTGCACTTGCGTGGATGACAGGCCCCTACTAAAGGGTACAAAGTATCCCCACCGGCACTGTCCTCCTTCACTGATACCCCAAATCTAGCTCAAGTTCTCCCAAATCCTTCCCTCTTTTTGTTTTCTCCTTAGCCATTCACTTATATATTCAGCAAATGTTGACTGGGACTGCTCTATGACAAGCACAGTGCCAGGTACTTGCAAATCTGTATCCACATAAAACATGTAGGACTTCCACTGTCCCACTTTCCTTGAAGCATACAGCTTACTCTAAGTATATTTTATTTTCGAACTTTCGAGTCAGTGTATTAGCTTCCTGGGGCTGCCTTAATGAAGTTCCAGGAACTAGGAGGCTGAAAACAACAGGGATTTATTGTCTCACACAGTTTTTGAGGTCGGAATCCAAAATCAAGGTTTCGCAGGGCTGTGCTTCCTCTGGACCCCGGAGGGGGTAATCCTTCCTTGCCTCTTCTAGCTTCTGGGAGTAACCAGCAACCCTCGGCACTTGGCTCTAGACGCATCGTCAGTCCATCTGCCTCTGTCATCACAGGTCATCCTCTCCCTGTCTGCCCCCTCCTGTTATAAGGACACCAGTCGTATTGGATTAAGGCCCCCCTCCACAGCCGTATGACCTCCTCTTAACTTAAATAACCACATCTGCAACAACTCCATTTCCAAACAAGAATGTGAATAATTCACGTTCTGAAATCGTGGGGGATTAGGACATCCACATATCTTCTGGAAAGACACACTCCAACCCATAACAGTCAGGCACAAAGATGTATTTCTGCACTATGTAAAAAGCAACAACATTAAGTATGCAAGGAGAAGGCACCTAGCGCAAGGAGGAGTGGCGACAGTGCTGGGGGGCAGGGGGCTGGAGCACGCACGCCTGCCCAAAGGCCACCATCTGCATGCAGCAAGAATGAGCCCCATCTCAGAGTCTTTTCCGGGAAAGCAGAAGGTCTGGATTTTTACAGGAAACCTTCCAGTTTTAAAAGGTTAGCATCTATGTCAAATCAAACAAAATACGTGTGAGCTAGATTCAGCCTGTGGATCACCAGGTTGGAACTTCAGGTCCATGGGATGAGGAAGGGTTTCCCGAACAAGATGATTTTTTTCTCAGAATTGGAAACTGTCCTCTCTGGCTACACTAGAGTTTAAGGTCAGGGAGAGAAGCGAGATGAGACAGGAGAGAAAACAAGCCGCCAGATCCTGCAAAGCCTCAGATGCCACATGGAGGAATGTAAGTGTTATCCAAAGGGAACATGACAAGTCATTGGTTTTAAGCAGGTTGGTGATGTCTGGTGTACAACCTGCCAAACACCATGGGCTGCCTACACCCTGATCTATCCCTCTCCAGCTCACCACACGCAGAAGCAGAGGGGATATCAGCCCTGCCTGCCCTCTAGACAATGACCTCTCATGTTCCCATCAGATTTGCAGAAGCTGCTGGAGATGGTTCGGGAAGATGCCCGAAGGACAGTCATGTTGGAAAATGGGATGCAAAGAAAAGCACCCAGGTATGTTCTCTTGACCCCTGGGGCAAATAAAGGATGTCAGAATAAGAGGGATAACATTAGCCATAGCAGTTCCAAATTATCGAGCATTTCCTCTGTGGCGAGCACTGAGCTATGTACTTTGTTCATGTGTATCACCTCCCTGGGTTCTTTCAACAACCCTCTGAGGAAGATACCATTATCTTTATTTTACAAATGAGAAAATGAGGCTCAGAGAGGCTAAGTAATTTGTTCAAGGTCATCCAGCTCATGAATGGTAAAGGCACAATTTGAATGCAGATCCCTCTAATTCCAAAAAGCATCCTCTTAACCACTATGCCGCACTGCTTCCCAGGAATTGTAAGGTTATTTGTCCACTCTTTTACTGAATAGTTATGAATATGTATGGACTAGGTGCTAATTATTGCAGGAAGCATTAGAAAAGGAAAGCTCAGATCTAAAAGGCTGAATAATAGGGGAATCTCATCTAGTCTGGGATGGGGATAGGGATCAGAGAAGTTTCCTCCAAGGAAGAGACTGTAAGAGATTGTGAGATGAGGTGAGAAAAAGAGCTCCCCAGCCGACACTAGGGGCGGGCGAACATTTCAGGTAGCGCCTGTGCAAATACGCTCAGAGGGGACCATGGCACTTTCAAGGAACCGAAATGCAGCCAGAATGGGATGAAGAGAGGCATACGTCTGTCCGGGGACCTTGGAGGCCACCTCAAGGATTCTGGTTTCCTTCCTAAGAACAACAAAGAACCTCAGAAGTGTCAAGCCGGCAACCAAGGTGATCGGCTCATGGTGTCAGACTTGAACCTGAAAGTGTCCTCCTCTGGGCGGGAAGCCTTTTCCACAGGACTTCTGACCTCGAACAGCCTCAGAGACCACACAGGCTCTATAGAGCTGGCGTTTCCTTCCCAAGTACAGATTCCTCCGAGTAAGCAAATTACTTCATGAAAATAAATGATGCACTGGAAGAGGTTCTTCATTGCTCTCAGCCTACCGGGGTGCCGGCTCTGACTTATTGGTTATTGTTATTACCATAATTACAGTTCACCGAGCCCTTGCACATGCATCACACCCACCGCTGCTTGCTAATGACGAATTTGTTTTGCTGCTGCCTCGACTTGCATCAGGGGCTCGGAGGGTGGCACGTGGAGGCATCCCGAGACAGTGTTGGCCCTCCAGCCCCTGGGTGCTCTTCCTGGTTTACCAGCATCGGAGACCAACGCTAAGGATGAAGCATCAGCTCCATGAGTCTCCCTCCTCTGTGAGAACCCACAGCATGAGCACCAGCACCAGCACCAGCGTTGGAGTCAGACTGACACGCATCCGAAAGCTAGAACAGGCCGACTTAGCCTTTCTCTAAACCTCAGTTTTCTCATCTGTAAAATGAGATTGTGCGGCCTCAAAGCACTGGCCTTGGAACCAAGTAGGTGAGAGTGGATGGACCTCCATCCCCCTCATTCGGCTGCTGTGTGATGTTGAGCAAGTTGCCTCACCTCTCTGAGCCTGATTCCAATTCTGTAAAATGAGGCTTATTAGCAATCATAATATCTCTGTAAAGCATTATTATTGTTGTGGGAACAATACCTATGTTTCAATGAGTCATTTTAAGAATTTAGGTGAAATAATGCATTTAACATATTAGTATGGACCTAACTTATTACAAGCGCCCGATACATGGTGGTGGTGGTACTTGTATTTCACACATAGCATTGCACCCAATCTTCACAGCACGTTGCTGACGCAGGTTTATTAACAACTGCCCGTTGCCAACACCCCACCACATGGATGGAGAAGGGCAATGAGTGACTTGCAGAAGGTCAAGAAAAACTCCACGAGAACACAAAACTCATCGCGTGGCCTCTGCATTCACTTCAGTGATACAATAACCATGGTGACAGAGCAAGAACCTGTGGAAATTTCCCATCCTCCTCAATCCCTCTGGGAGAAAAATCTCCCTAATCTCTCCCCGAGGCAGCAGATACTGGAGGCTTCTCCGCAGAGCGGCCGACAGACAGTGAGGAAAAGTGGCACATTTTCTTTTGCCCTCCTCACTTTAGAATCTGGATTCCTTTTTCAATTTAGGCCTCACATCTGTTCCCCTCGGGGCTAAGTTAGAAACCTGGGGTTTTTCAGAACCCCTAAAAATCAACTGGAGCAGCCCCAGCCTCAAGGCCAGACTGCCCTCTGGCCGTCTTAGTCTCTTTGGGCTGCTGTAACAAAAATACCCCGGACAGGGTGGTTTATAGACAACAGATACTTATTTCTCACTGCTCTGGAGGCTGAGAAGTCCAAATTCAAGGTTCCAGCAGATTCGGTGTCTGGAGAGGGCTGTCCCCATAGATGACTGTCTTCTCACTATAACATTACATGGGGGAAGGGAGCTCCCTAGAGTTTCTTTTATAAAGGCACTAATCCCAATGATGAGGGTTCTGACCTCCTGAGCTAATCACCTCCCAAAGGCCGCCACCTTCTAATACCCTCACCTTGGGGATTAGGATTTCAACATATAAATTGTGCGGGGTTGGGGGGGCGCAAACATTCAGACCATAACATCACCTAGGAAGATGACCTTTTCTTAAAATCTTCTACCAGTGTTTTCTAAATGTCTCTGAGGATCAGAATTAGCTGGGACGCTTGTTAGAAAGACAAATTTGTAGTCTTCATCCCAGACCCACTGAATCAGAACCTCCAGAGGAAACTGTATTTTTTAACAGGCACTTCAAGTGGGCACCATTTCACAGGGTGCTGAAAAATTCTAAGGTCTCAAAATGGGCTCTCTGCACACCTGTAATCCAAAGTGTGTGTGTGTGTGTGTGTGTGTGTGGTTTTAAATGTAGCTTCTGGGGCCTCACTCCAGGCCTGATGTATGCAAATCCCTGGGAGTATGGCCCAGGAATCCGATTTAGTAGCAATCTCTCTCCAGGTGATTCCTGTGCCCAGTAAAGTCTAAAGATCCCTGCTCTAGAAAGAGAATTCTCCACCCTCCCACAGATACTTCCTGCCTCAGGGGCACCGTATGTTCTGTGCTTTATTAAGACACTCATCTTGCTTTCCAGTATCTTGTCAATGCTCAGACAAAACAAGAGTGATTCTGCCTATAAAGACATGCAGACCACCCGCAAATCAAGGTAGGCTGCACCCCGCAGTTACAGGGAGATGCAGAGATGCCCCTCAGCAGCCCGTGGGAGGTGGGGCAGGGAGGAGGGACTTTTTCCTTCTTCACTAGAAATAAGCCCCTTAATTTCTAGGGCTGGGGGGTGAGTATCTAGGTGTCTCTCCCCCCACTCAAACGGTATAAAGTTAAAATATTCCAGTCATGGAGAGACATGAAGCAGGGAGGGTATGGAGTCCCCTACACGACTGCCCTTTCCCTCCTTACTTGGGTGGCCCTTAATGAGTGAAAGGAGGTCCACCCACATTTCATTTACTCATCTAGACTATACTCATCAGTACCCCCCTGTGCCAGGAACTGTGCTAGGTTTGGAGGGATTCAGCAGCAAATAGGACATATGTAGTCTGCCCTCACAGATACCACTCTCTGGACTGGGTGGGGTCATAGCTGTTTTTGTGTGCTATGGGCCCTTTCAGAAAAATGCTTTTAAATACCTACTGTAAATCACAAAGGTTTGCAACGAAATCTATAGTACTATAGATTATGATATTACAACCGAATTTGGGATATAGTCATCTATGGGCTTCTTTCACAATAAGTTATATAACAAGACTTAGCAGGAGATCTAATAACTACTGTAATTTTAGGTTAGTATTGAGTGTAAATGATCTTTCAAAGTATCTGCCACAATTGCAACATGTTGTGCAAATACATGCAATTTCCATTTCTGTTGAAGGTTAGTTGAAATAAAGACATAAACTTTTTTCATCTGCATTCATGGATGCCTTGAATCCTCCCCGTTAGAGGCACCTAGAGGTGCCTGGGTGGTCTAGAAGCACCTGGGTGGCTCAGTCGTTAAGCATCTGCCTTCAGCTCAGGTCATGATCCCAGGGTCCTGGGATTGAGCCCCGCATCGGGCTCCCTGCTCAGCGGGAAGCCTCCTTCTCCCTCTCCCACTCCCCCTGCTTGTATTCCCTCTCTCGCTGTGTCTCTCTCTGTCAAATAAATAAATAAAATCTTAAAAAAAAAAAAAAAAGAATCACTGGTCTAATGGGAGAGCCATGCATTTATTAAGTAATCCCACAGAGTGAGCCATATAATCATGACTATGGAAAGTATACTAAAGGAAAAGTAAGGAGGACTGGGTGAAAGGTGAGCACTAGAGGCCTAAGACTGAGTTTGACATTTAAGCTGAGACCTGAAGAAAAGAAGACTTAGCTAGCCTATGGCGGGGATAGGTGGGGATAGGTGGGAATAGTGTTCCAAACAAGGAACAGCCTGTGCAAAGGGCCTGAGACAAGAGGAAGCTTTGAGGCAGAAATCAGTATGGCTGAAACTCAGGGAGAGCCAAGGAACAGGGAGACAGAAGCGGGCAAAGGGTCCTTTGTTGTTTATTTCTGTTTATTCTTTTATCACAGCTAATACTACTACTTCCCTCATCCCCCACCTCCTCCCTGAGTCACACTGTCAGTGCTAGAAAAGAAGAGAGCCATCTACAGGAGGGAGGTCAAAGCCAACACCCTCTCCCAAAGAATTCATCTGCATGGGTTGGGGCAGCTGGTTGGAATCCAAACACAAGGACCTCTGGGTACTATTCCTGGGGCCCTACATGTCAGTGAGATGGGATAAGGGCTCCAGCCATCACCTGCCAGAGCTAAGATGTCTACATCCAGTCCCTTGAGCCTCTGGGAAAAGCAGCAAAGGGTCAGGACCTTTTCTATGGAGAGGGCTCTGGGAAGTAGCCAGCCTACTGAAGGAAGTTCCAGGTGCTACAGGGCCAGTAGGGAAGGGTCAGCTGCACATCACAAAGATAAGAAAAACAGGCTCATCCTCTAGAATCAGACAGAGAAAACAGTCAAGTAAGTTTTCCAAGCATTTGGTGAAAAGGGAGACAGAGCAAGAGAGAAGGTGTGAGACACTGGGGCTGAAGGACCTGGGAGAAGGCACATGGGAGGGATGAGCATGAGCAAAGGGGCTTCACCCCCTTCTAGGAACTCTGACCACCCAAGTCACAGGAGGGAGTGGCCACTCAAGAAATTCAATCAAGCCCATACCTAGAAAGGGTTCAATGTCATGAAGAGTTGACTGATCACAGATGAGGAGACTGACGATCCAGAGCTGAGGTGCTTGCCCAAAGACTGGGAGGTGGTAGTGCCCAGGCTGGGCTCTGGAGTCAGCTCTGTCTGCCTCCAAAGTAAAGCGAAGTGAGTGGTCAGCTCAGGTTCCAGTTCAGAGAAGAGAATCCTTGAATGAAGAAGCGGTCTGGGGTTGGGAACATCAACATCATGACTAGAAGGACTTGACCATCCCTTCACTGCACTCAGCCCGGGAGGTTACATGTTAATCGGTATAGAGAGGAGAATGGAAGGGCCCCAAGTGAACTTGTCCTCCAGAGGGAAAGATCAATCTTGTACAAATGAAACTGGGATCCAGAAGATACATCATTCTGACAGTACACAGAGACAGAAGGTCAAAGTCAGACTAGAAGAGTCAAAGGAGGCAGAACTTGCTGTAGACCATGAAACAGTGTTGGATTTGAGCAGGTGGAGAAGAAACAAGAAGGACCCTCCAGGCAGGGGATATGGGTAGAAGCAAGGACCAAGAGGTGGGAAAAATATACACTCAGCCCTATGACTGGTCCCTTGATTAGCACCACCTCCCTTCCCTGAATCCTGGAGGCTAGCAGGTGTCATGGGAGCCCCGAAGACACCCTTTTTGCGAAAAGCAGGCTCCAGGCAACCTGAAACCATCCCTTTGTGTTTTAGTGACCGATCCAGCAGTTCAAGTGGAGAAAGCCACACCCAAGTCATCCAGAAGAAGTCTAAAAGGTACGCCAGATGGGCAACAGAACATGCTGGGCAAAGGTACTGTGGCAACCACACTGTCTCCCCAGGGGTATGGAAATAACTCAGTGCATACTAGACTCCCTGAAGTCATACACACTGCTTAAAGACAAGGGATGCCCAGGGCAAGGGACTCACAGCCAAGATGCCAATGCAGACAATGGCAATAAATTCTTCCCCTGTGCCAGACGCTGGGTGAAGCATTCTATATTATCTTGCTATTCCCCAAAACCAATCCTATGAGGCGGGAGCATTATCCCATTCTACAGAGGAGCAAACTGAGACCTGGCCAGGTGAGATGTCTTGCCTGAGGCCACACAGCTAAGAAATGGTGGTGCTGGAGTCCGAACCCGGGTCTCCCAGCTCCAAATTCCATTTTCATCTCACAGTCCTTAACATTTGCCGGGCTCAAGTGACTGGATGTCTCTCTGTGGGCTTATTTAATAAAGCCTGAACCACCAACCTGATGTTGTTGGGAAGATCTGGCCTTCCTACATCCAGGGAAAAGCAAAGGGCAGATCCAGGTGAGGGTAGAGAATCAGGGTGCACAGAGAATCTCCATAGCAGAGCACCTTGGGGCCCAGAGAGTCCAGCCTCATGGGTCTGATCCTGGGACTCCATCCCCTAAGCCCTTTGTATCTGTGTCGACAGCCGCACCAACCGTGACATCATCCACTGCAAGACTGGTGTATGCAGCTCCATGAGGGCCAAGTTTTACAGCGTGGCCCAGGAGGCCGGCTTCTGTCTTCAAGACAAGATGGAAATCCTCATGAAGTAAGGGCACACAAACATCCATTCATCCAAAGGACATTCATCTAGTACCCAGTATGTGCCCACTGATGTCAGATGCTGGGGCTTAGCAGGGAATAAGGACATATTTCCTGCCCTTAGAGAGCTTATAGTCTCTTGGAAAATATGGGCAGAAACAAATAACTGAGTCGATAAATATATGGGCACAAATTATAGTCATTGCTATACAGGAAGAGAACAGGGTGCTATTAGAGAAAGCAACCATGAGGACCTAATTTAGGTTGGGTAATCCAGGAGGACTTCTCTAAGGAGGTGACTTTAGGCTGAGCCCTGACAGATGAGGAGGAGCTGGTGATGTAGTAAGAAGGTGGAAAGACATTTCAGGCAGCAAGAAAAGGACATACAAAGCCCCCAAGGCATTATGGGACATGGAACATTTAAAGAGAAGGGAGAAGGAGGGGGTGAGACCTGCATTGTGCACATCGGTGAGTGCCATACTTGAGACCTGGAACTTGATTTTAAGAGTACTGGTGGGCTATTGGAAGATTTCCTTTCCTACTCTGACAACCCAATAACTGTCTCCCTTCCCAGCCTACCCCTTGACTGCGGTGACCATTCACCCCGATGAAATTCATCCATTCCAATACTGTGTTATATTGTGACTCTTGTCTCTCACCCTTTGAGCATGGACAGGTTAGCTGTTCCAACTGCTCTTTGGGAGATGACTTGCCCCCACCTTCTGGGAGCCCCCAGGCTGATGAAGGAGACAGACAAACAAACAGGCAGTTACCAACACAGGCTGATGAGGGCCGACATGGGCGTGAGCCTGGGGCTAAGGGAACACATGAAAAGGATGTCTTGCCTAGCCTGAGACAGCAATCAGGTCTTCCTAGAGGAAACAACATTTTCAGTTTAATAAAAATCGATGAGATTTCCAGGGCACTTATTACATACCAGCCAGGGGTGTAAGAGTTTTGTATTTATCATTTAGCCCCCACAAAAATCCTAGGAAGTAGCTGCTATTATTAGACCCATCTTATAGATGAGAAAAGTGGGCTCAGAGATGTCTCTTGTCAAAGGTAGTAAAGGTGGAATTCAAACCCAGAGAGTCACATAGGAAGAGGGAAGGAGGGGTGGGAGTTCCAGCAGAAAGCAACAGCAAAGTCTTGGAGGCCAGAAGGGGCACAGGGCACCAGGAACTGCCAGTAGTCAGGTGTGGCTGGGGCTTCAGTTGCTTTCATGGTAATCAGAGAGACAGATAGAGACCAGATCATAAAAGGTCTTGCCAGCCCAGCTGTGGAGGTTGAACTTTACCTCAGAACTTTGTTCATGAGCCAAAGTATAAAATGCCAAGCTGGAAAATGCTGTAGAGGCTGAATAATCCAGAGCCTTGGAGGGCAAGTTACTCAGGAGACTTTATTCCAAGTAAAATGGAAAGCCACTGAAAGTTGTACACAGGTGAACGACATGTTATGTTTATAATGTAAAGGCTCCTTAGAGAGCTTAGAACATATGCCCAAAACGATAAGGGGAGTGGGAAAGAGAGGAATCAACTTGAGTCAAACACCTACTGTGCATCTGGCGCTAAACTCGGCACTTTACACACATTGTATCATTTAATCCTCACCTCCAAGAGCCAGAACCATTACTACTCTCCATTTTACAGTTAGAAAGCTGTGTCAGTACAAACAAAAGTAGCAGGGAGAGAATGAAGGCTGATAAAGTGACAGGATTTAGCAAGAAAGGTGCATCTCAGAACCTTGGAGAGAGTCGTGTCATCTTGTGGCATGAGCCATGTTGTAAAGTGAAGAGCGTCTGAGAGGGCTGAGGATTTCATGAAGAAAATGGTGTTTAAGTCAGATCTCACAGGACAACCAGGGTGGATAAAGAAAGGGGTATGATCTTCTTCATCTTTTTCATACAACCTGTGATGCAGGCGCCAAGAAGAGAGAGGTCTCCAGAAGTTCCATTCTTTTGTCATTGTCTCGAATTTTAAGAAGGATATAGCAAAAATGAGGCATCAAGTCTCCATGATAAAAGGAGATGCAGAAGAAATTGCAGACCACTGGTAAAGATCCTGAGAGCCAGATAAGATGGTCCTTGATGTGGAGGGAGGAGGAAGGGGCTGTTATTACAAAATTACATTTGATCCCATTATCCTTCAAGACTGTTCTTGGCCACCAGCAGGCCCCACCACCACCACCAAACAGGCAGTCAGGCAAGAATCCGTCAGTTCCTGAACCACAGATAATCCAACAACTGTATGCTCCACATTTATCTTCTGTTTGATTCAGACTTGCAAATAAGGACTAATTTGCCAGCCCCTTGCAAGAGGCAGATGAGGCAAACCACCTAAAAATTTCTACGAATTGCGAGGTCTATGAAGCAATCCCTATATTCCCCAAATAATTTGACCCCTTAAGGATATAAAATGAGGCAGGCATATCCTAGGAACACTGTGACCCAGCATGGGGGTGATAAAAGAATTACAACAAAAAGCAACACAGATTGATTACTGGGTGGCAGACATGACCCTAGGAAATTTTCCTAAATTATCAATTTTATTCCCCACAAAAATCCTGAAAGTTACATATGAATCCCCACTTTGTAAACAAGGAAACCTCAAGATTTGAACCCCTGTCTGACCCCAGTCTCTATGCTCATCTGCAATATAGAATTGGAGTCTGCCACGAACCCTATCATGGCAGGGTGAGTAAATCAAGGTCTAAGAGTAAGACGAGAACGTCTAAAAATGTACCCAGAATCCCTTCCATGATTTTAATAATGTGGAATGGGAGTTTACAAGGAGACATGAATAAATATATACCACAAAATATAAAATACAAAGCAGTGCACATAGCCCAAAGTTAGATGATCAATTTCTTCTTCAAATTCCTCTACGATTGATGCATCTCTATTGGGGGGGGGTCCTTTTTTTCTTTTTTTTTCTTTTATTATGTTATGTTAGTCACCATACATCATTAGTTTTTGATGTGGTGATCCATGATCCATTGTTTTCGTATAACACCCAGTGCTCCATGCAGTACACATCCCTTTTTTCTTTTTTAAAGAGGTGCCATCCCCTGCCTTAAACCCTGGTCAGACCTGAACCACCTCCAGGTTGGAATCTACCTTATTCTTACCATCTCAAGAATGGATTACCAAACTGCCCTCAGACTCTGTTGCAGCATTCAGAAAGGTTCTCAAAACCCACTGAAACACACAAAGCTGTGGCCCAAGCTTACTCACTAAACAGGGACGTAGAAAATACACACATGGTTTCCCCTTCCTCAACCTTCTCCTCCGTCTTGGGCGTGAGAGCCCCTTGCATCCTGGCAGGGATTCCACAGGCATGTCCGCGTCCTCCCTGGCCTGATTAACTCTCAAAATAGAAGCTTCAGAATCTCAGTGCCCCTTCCTTTCTTGTAGCTTTTCACACTGTCCGCATGATTAGAAAAACCATAAATGCTTTAAAGCATGCCCTTAATTTGTTTTTTTAATGAGATGCAAATCATGCTCCAGCTTTTACTAGCCCTGAAAAAACAAAAGACTTGCCCGATCTGTGGGCCCTTTACATTCAGGAATGGAGGAAGTTCTCCCGGATAAGGACAATGCTGCCCTGGAGACATCACACGAGTGGTAGAAAGAGAGAGTAGGGAGGGAGGACCTGAGATACCCAGACCCACCCCCCAGCAGCTTCCTAACTGGCCCTCTCTTCTTGGGATTGGGAATTGAAGGTACTTTGATCTGCTGTCCAAACTCCCTGAGGATCTGAAGAATTTCCGCCCCGCCAAAAAGATCCTGGCGAAACTGCAGAAGTTTGGGGAAAACCTGGACCTCAGGATCCGGCCCCATGTCCTCCTGAAGGTGCTACAGGACCTGAGGATCTGGGAGCTGTGCTCTCCGGACATTGCGGTGGCTATCGAGGTGACTACTGTGTTCTGTCCGCTCCTCACTAGGCCTCTGGTGCCCTTATATAGTCATCTCTCAAAGTCCAGGCACTGGTTAAGTACTGCAGACCCAGTTAAAAAGACACAAGGTCTCTGCCTTCACGGAGCTCATCACCAAACAGGTGAGGGATTACGTGACCTTGGTGGTTCAACTCCAGGGGACATTATATTCTAGGTAAACGGTGCCCCCTGGGGAAACTTGGAGGCTTTGGAAAGACATAAATAAATGGACAAGTGAATAAAATAACTAGCAATCATAATAAAGAGCACTCTAAATGTGGCCCGTGGACCAGCAAGCATAGACCTCACTTGGGTGCTTGTTAGAAATGCAGAATCTCAGGCTTCAAACCATAGCTACCAACTCAGAATCTACATTTAAATGAGGTCCCAGGTGATCCGTATGCACAATAAAGTTTAAGGAGCACTGATTTAAGGTAAATGTCGAGGGGACTATCTTAACTAGGGCGACTGGGGAAGGTGACTTTTAAGCTGAAACAGAACTTGACTTGTGGGAGGGACTCATTGGCAGTCAATGGGTTGAGAAGGAAGCAAGCAAGGAGGGGCTAGATTGCAAGGGGATTGGAGAGGTCAGTCTGTGCAGACTTTTGAAAGTCAGGTTAAGGATTTAGGTCTTTATCTTGAGCCTGTGGGGAAGCCACTGAATGGTTTTCAATGGTAGTTTATCATCACCACGCACTCTAGATGTTCCTAGGGCATCAAACGGTATCAGCAGATGGGGGAGAGTCACTTTCTTAATTTCATCAGATGGCCTACGTACATTTTTTTTTTAAAGTCGGCTCCATGTCCAGCATGAAGCCTAACGCAGGGCTTGAACGCACGAGCATGAGATCCAGACCCAAGCTGAGATTCAAAAGTCAGACGCTTAACCGACTGAGCCACCCAGGTGCCCCAGACGGTATATGTACATTTTAATAGGGCTTTCAATGTCTCAAGATAAAGATGGGACTCAAATGGTAGAATTCTCAGTCCTCTGGGTGTTTTCATGCCAGGCTCGTGCTCCCACAGGCTGAACTGGGTGTATATATGTAGCGCAAGGTAAGGAGTGGGGGAAGGAGGATGACCCTGTGGACAAATTCATAGGTCCAGACTGCACTCCCCACATCCCGTGAGGCTCCTTCAGGAAAGACTGGTAGACTACTCCAAAACTCACTCAAGGGCAACTCTCCACTCCCCACTTGCCAATTATGGGGTCCACCTTCCACCTGCAATTTACGGGGTTGTAGAAGAGGCAATCTTCAAGTGGGCAAGAGGGAGGCTACTATGGAGGCTCTGAGGTGAGTTCACCACCCCAGCCAGTAAAACTTAGCATGCTCCTCTCCCAATGAGAACATCACAGAATGTCTGATAACCAGGATGTGGGGGTCTCTTAGTCTAGAACTTGTACGAAACCACATTTTGTGTCTGAAAAGCCTTTTTTGGAAGTGAGCGCATAGTTATCATCAATTCTCAAAGAGATCTACAAATGAAAAAATGCTTAAGGACAAATGACATTTTAAAAAAGATATTAAGGCTTAGGGCAGAAAGAAAAATGCTGACAGCTGGGTTTTTCTGCTCCCCCCAAATTTCTCTGGGTCAATTGTAACAAAAAAGGCTTAAAATTAGTCTGCTGAAGCAGGAAGCTGGAAAGGGGTTCTTTTCTTGAGAGAACAAAATCCCCATCATCATGCTCCAAGGCATTATGAATGCCTGAATGTTTAGAGGCATCCTGTGGCCATCAGCCTCAATCACACATCTTCCAAGATCTTGGAGGTGGGGCAGCAAAGGGAGTCTAGCTTTCAGACCAAATCTGAAGTTGCTACTGTATTTGCCCTGCAGTTTGTACGTGAACACATCATCCATATGTCTCAAGAGGATTATATCACCTGGCTGCAGAACCGGATCAATGTCCCCATCCGATCCCAAAGTCTCCGGGCATAGCCTGGCCCTGGTTCAACCAGCTGTCCCAGTGGAGAAGGGCTAAACTACTGTATTCCTGCTTCCTACCTGTGTTCCTGCTTCCTGCCTATCCACTAGGATATAGGAGGGTCTGACTTCTTGGCAACATTCTAGAGGAAGATACTCCCCGGTGGAAACTCCCCTTAACCTCACACCCCAGCCTCAAACTCCCAGTCTCTGTTCCTCATTGGTCCAGCCTGACTCTACCCACTCCCTCTCCAGATGCCTTCACCTTACTCCTCTTCCTCAAATTCTGGTTAATAAAATGGAGCTGAGTGTTTGATGTCTGGCTGGGAAAGAGTTGGAACTGCAGAATTTGGGTATGGTATTCAGATCCTAATAGTAACCACGGTACTATTTATTAAGCTTTTGTTATGCAATAGGCCCAGTGCTGGGTGAAGTTATATTGCCTGCTAATATTTAATCTCACAATAACTTGGTTAATTAAGTAGGGAATGATGATACTGTCCCCATTTCACACCAATGGAGCTATAGCATATTTCTAAACATTATGTATAGGCCATGGATGGATAGCTGGGTAGGTGGGTAGATGAATGGATGGGTGGATGGACAGATGGATGGATGGATGGATGATGGATGACGCATTCCCAAATAAGGCAAATGGTATGCAAGAGAATTTCAGCCTTAACAGTCCTCATATACTTTCTGGTGCTCTTGGTTGCACAAGGAAGCTTAACTTCCTATCATCTGAAAATGTGTACAGACTCATTGCCATTTTACCTCTTTTCTCATTTTAGTCCTATGCTTACCTACATGCTCACCAAGTTATAAAACAGGTAGTCATTTTAACTCTCACTGATGGCCCAGCTGAATTAAACAACTGGACTTGATTTGCTCCTATTCCCAGATTATCAGAGCACTCATATAGGCTGGCCCTCCCTATCTCTTCATGATAATCCAGAAGGGAGGGAGGAGAGCTGAACTGGCACTCCTTTTTAGTTTAAGCAACAGCTCACTCCTCCATTCACCTACTCAAGTCATTTATACATTCATTCCATGAATGTTTACTGAGAGCTCACTATGCATCAACCAAGTTCTAGGTTCTGAAGATACAGCCATGACTAAAGCAGACATGGTCCCTGCTCTCTTGGAGGTTACATGGAGACAGACAAGTCAACAAAAGGCAATGGGGTGGGAAGAGGGATTGCACATCACACATCTCTTCACACTGATGTCCTTTGTTTAGCATGATACCTGGACAAGCCATTGAGGTGCAAAGGTGAGATGCTGCCTATAAGAAGTCTGCAGAGTTAAGAGACCCCACACCTCTCTGTATTAAATAGGAATTTGGGTAAGGGGGAGGTGAGAATAAAGGGGGAGGGCCAAGGGAGGGAAAAAAAGAGGAAGAAGGAAAGGGGCCTGAGAAGGAAACTTGGGGGAAAACCAACCAGGGGAAAGTTCTCAAGGTGGGGCTGGCTAGGGGATCTCCAAGAACTACAAGCCAAACCAACCCCCTCCACTACATCACCTTGGATCTTTAGTAATTTCTGTCATATACTCAAGTGTCCTCTGGGGGTGATGTTTTGAGGAAACATAAGAAGAAGCTATGTTCTACATCTGGGTCAGCCTGGGGGCCAAGAAAGGGCTTGAGGGACTCAGAACGGAACACAATTAAGAATTTAGTAGGAGCAGGAACTCCAAGACAGACCACTATTCCATAAGTTCTCTAGATTTAAAGAAATCTGGTTTAAGATTTATTTATTTATTTGACAGAAAGATTGAGAGCACAAGCAGGGGGAGTAGCAGGCAGAGGGAGAGGGAGAGGGAGAAACAGGCTAACCACTGAGAGCAGAGAACCCAAAGATGTGGGGCTTGATCCCAGGACCCTGGAATCATATCCTGAATCAAAGGCAGACGCTCAATCAACTGAGTCACCCAGGCGCCCCTACAGAAATCTTGAATGCACATTTGGCTTACCACTAGATAGGGGATGGGACTCTGCTAAATTGATACATTTCTCATACATCTCTCAAATGTCAGGTGACATTTAATTACACTAGAGAATCAGTGCAATGGTGCCAAATTAAAGCAGGTACAAGAACATCCCAGGGGACAGGGCTGAGGGTGGCAGGAGGGGGTGGGTCTCAACTCATACTTGAGATGTCAGGAAAGGCTTGCTAGAGAGGGTGATGATTGCTGTAAGATGAGTAGGAACCAGGGAGAGAAAGGTAAGCCAGACAAGGAGGGAGGGAAGAATGTTCCAGGTATGGAGAAGAGTGTATGCAATGGCCTAGAGGCAAAAAGAAACTTGATGTCATTCAAGGAACTAAAATAACAAGGTCTGGCTAAACTATAAGACCAGGTTGTTAGCAGGACAGGGAAATGGAGGCGGGAGGTAGAGACAAATTTGGAGATGCTTTCTAGGCCATGTTATGAGGTTAAGACCAACTTACTGGCAATATGGAGCCATGGAAGGATTCTGAGCAGGAGCTTAATCAGACTTGTGTTCCAGAAAAAAAGAAAAGACTACTATGTAAGCGCAAGGCGGGAGGCAGGGAGCTAAGATAAGGCTGTCGCAGTGATTGTGGGGAGAGCAATGGCAGTGGGGACCGAAAGTCTCTTGAAAAGAATCAACAGAACTTGGTGTGGTGGGTTACAAGTGGGCAGAAGGCAGAGAATGTCAGGAACCATGTCTGATTTTCCAGCTTGGATCTCTGGGTGGAGGATGGTCCTTTAATGTACCTGGAGGAAAGGAAGAAAAGAAAGTTCTGAACGTTGTTTGGAGCATATTGAGTGGGACAGTCATGTGGAAGAATCTGAAACTCAGGAGGGAGGACCGAGGTAGAAACAGGACATGAACATCGCATAGGCCATGATGGTTAAGGCAGGAAGTGGGAGGAGAGGCTGGGAGAGCGGCCTTGAGGACAGAATGACAAAAGCATCAAGCAGCCCACTCACAATCCAGCCCTGACTGAGGGACTGCTTTGTTCCAGACACACGGGAAAGCCTGACGTGGGTTTTCTCATTTCATCTTCATGATCCTGCAAGGCCAGGCTCACCTGCTTTACAGACGATGAAATCGAGGCTCGAAAAAGTGTCCTGCATTCATATCCAGCTGACTCTGAACTCCCTCCCTCCCTCCACGGCTGCCCCGCTCTGACCCCAATCCTCATTTTGTATGTAGGAGACCAGGAGGTCATGAAAGTTATCTTGCTTTTGGAATCACATCCAAGGAACAGCTCTAATGGCAGGGCCCCCTAGCATTGTATTTACTTACATTTGCACGGTTTGCAAATAGGATAATACTCCTGTAATAGCTTATTTGATGCTCACAGCATCCTTCTGGGTGGACATTGTTCTAATTCACATTTTACAAGTAAGGACCATAAGGATATCAAAACTTAAGGTCATTTGCCAACAGTCACACAGCCGGTAAGTGGCAGAGCCAAGTCCAGAACGGGTCCATCTTGGGCAGGGAGATACTAAAATCACAAGACACTGGGCCCTCCCTCCGGCCCCTTTCTAAGCCTAGTTCTCAGAGCTGTAGCTCCATCTAGTGGTCTATATTAGCACTGCGCTCCCATCATGCCCATCAGCAAAGTAGAACCTTCTACTTTGGAAGAAGAAGTCAAGTTTTAATAGCAGCAATAAGACCTACTCTGCTTAGACAAGGAGTATTTACTCAAGACATTCTACTGCTAAGATATACTGGGGACTCGGAGGAAGGACTACATCACCTCCCAGCTCCCAGGCTCAAAGAAGAGCCACAGGGAGAAATAGTTGTGCTGTGAGCATCTTTCTCAGAATCTAATTAAGCACCTACTGTGTGCCAAGCCTGTGCCAGATGACCAGGATCCACAGTCCTGCTGCTCTGACCAAGCCACCTGCGTGGCTTTCATGAGAGTTTTTAAAACCACATGTACCCTACAGAAGCTTTCTCTGTAAAGGAGCAGAGAGTAAATATCTGTTGCATATTCTTTTTATATATGTAGCCCTTTAAAAATGTAAAAGCCATTCTTATACTGGAGGCCATATAAAACAAATTATGCCCAGATTTGGGCCATAGGCTTCAATTTAATGACCCTTGCTAGAGTGTCAACTGAAGGAGGAAAGGAAATTTTCTTCCCCAAAACCTGAGACAAGGAGGGCTGGTGAAAATAATATGGTAAATAGGTAGACAGAGGTTTTTTGTTTTGTTTTGTTTTGTTTTGTTTTGCACCATTCATAATAGTGAGGGACTATTACATTTCCTTTAGGAAATGGGGAAAGGGAATGTATGCACATGTTAAAAATTATAACACTGCAAAAGGACATCTGCTAAATAATATTTCTCTCCCCTCCAAACCTCAGACCCAACTCCCACCTAGAGGGGCAATCTCATTGTTCCTAGCAGCCTGTGTATCTTCCAGAGTTACTCTGTGCATATACAAACCAAAAACAAATAAGCAAATTAAAATGGAGTATTTATTGTGTACTTACTCTATGCCAGGTATTGTTCTAAGCGCCTTGCATGTTAATCTTATTTTATCCTGAGAGCAGCTCTATGGGCCAGCATGACTCTGATATTAATAGTAGAGGAAACCAGGGTGCAGAAAAGCTGAGGAACTTGCCCAAACTTACAGAATTTGGGTGGATATCGTTTTTTTTCTTTTTAACAGAAATAGTGAGGCTGGTATACAAACTTGTGCATTCATTTATGTTGGTGGTGATTTCACTTCGTATATTCCTACTTTATATGAAGGAAGAAAGTGCCTGGAGTTTCATACCATGGAAACCAACAGCTGCACTGTCATCACCCCCTGTCCTGACAATTCTTTTCATGGGTCCCAGATCAGGAAGGACCTGGACCAAAAGTTATGACCAACTGTAAAGAGTAATATTGGAATAAAAGCCCAAGCTAACTTTAAAAGCACTCCTGTAACACTTCCCTCTATCCAAACCACTCATTTCAGCCCCTGAGCCTCACTCTCCATGGCTGAAGTTGAGTGTCCTCCCCTGTCTGGGGTCCCAGAGGTTAGCCAGGGGAAGCCATATACAGATGAAGTAGAATAAAAATGTAATAGAAGTGATAATTTTCTGAGTGACTTACGCCAGGCACTATGTCATTCATTCACATGCATT